GCTCTTCTATTGCTACAGACCAGTATTGAAAAAGAGACACAATGTTAGCACAATTTAACAGACTTTTTTGAAAATAGGAAATGAGTTATGCAAATGTATTGTTAGATAATGACATTTTCAAATGAAGCTTTTGTTTGGTTAATCATATTTAGGGACCTACTCTTCATTCTTATAACATATGAGTCCCAGAAAAGGTTCAGTATGATGTATGTTATTTCAAGCAGGCCTCAATACAGTGAATGTCATGATTTTACAGGTGCATGGATGCCAGCTCCACAAGTACCAAACTGTCCTCCTGGCCTTGAGTACCTCACCCAAATTGACCAGATAATTGTTCAACAGCAGGTTGAATTACTTGAAGGTAAAGTAGTTAAATTTATTTCAGTTTCATGATGGAATACTAATCCAGTTTTAAAGTATAAAAAAAGGTAAAATTTGTGATTTTACTATATTTGCTTTTTTTAATTAAATAAGGGGTTTGAAGAATTGAACACCCTGCTTTTATGACATGCTGTAGGGGTGTAGAATGCTTATGTCATTTGAGTTGGCACATAAAAAGTACTTTCTGCAAAAGGAGAGAAAGATATTTTTCTCGTAAATACAGGGCACACTCCTACATTCACCTCAAAACAGCAGAGATCATTTCTATTATCCAGATAGAAAAGAATGTTGACTCCCAGGGAAATCAACTGGGAATGAATGGGAACTAACACTTTTGTGAAAATCCTTGGTGCTGTATTTAGCCCAAAAGGTAGAACTTTGAATCTGTAAATTCTTGAGATTTTTGGAAAAGCTAGAAACTTGCTGAACTTGTATTGGGATGTGCCAATAAGCATCCTTCATATCTATTGAAGCCATAAATGTTCTTTGAAATAGAGCGACCCGAACATGGGTGGCAGTTGTCATACAGAAGTGGTAGTTGACTGTGAAATTGATTAACTTGCTAAAATATAGCACTAATCAAGTTTCTACTGAATCGATTTTTGGAATTTCGAACATATGATTCAGAAAAACTCTTCTGATTCTTCAATCACATCTTTTTTAATTAATTCTTTTATTCTTTAAATGATCAACAGTTCTGTTCTCTTTTAAGGAACATGAAACTTTACTGTTTTTTTGTTTACCCATGGCCATGTAAGATTTCTAGAAATCACTTTCTGTGGCCACCCCGGAGGCCAGAAATCTTGCTATCCCAACAGGCGGTCTTGAGCTAGATTGTCATTTAGAATTGATTTAAGATTGGAACTGATTCTTGCTTCCTCTTTGAAAGGTCCATCCCCAAAAGGACTGAATAGACCTTTGTGAAGGCTGTTCTGACCCAATGGAATTAGGTTTAAATTTTGACTGATAAGAGTGATCTGAAAATTTTTTGCCTTTATTAATCTGAAAAGATTTATAAGAATTGCAAGCTTTAGCAGACTTAAGGGGACCCCCCCAGGAGTTGAAAATTTTTGGGTCAAATTGAGTTGGCTAGCATATTGTATAGGTACATAAATGAGGAAACTACCAACCGACTATTAAGCCCAGCTATGGTAGTTCTTGGGTGGCGCACACGAGACCTGCTAAACACGTGGGGAGGTACACAGCTAACGTACATCCGGGTACAACTATGTGGACTTGTTGCAATCATGTATACAGCATTTGATAATGACATTGTGCATAGATATGAGTTTGTGAACGTTCAAAGAACACTTTTATACGAATAGAAAAAAAAAAAAATATCAGTGATTTATGACAAAATATTTTATGAAATATACCAAAAAATAGTTTTTAGTTTTGTGTTCTTTTACTCATGAAATATGTTTCCATCAAGACTCCCTGGTAATATGCTGTAGCTTATGAAGGGATCTGTATGTATACCGAGTATGAAGCACTAATGTTTGAAAATAGCCGTATAAGTAAGGATTGAAATATTTTTGTTAGACCGCTCAATAGTCGGTACATCACAGCATCGATAAATTTGATTTGATTTGAAATTGAAATTGCTGTAAAGAGCATTTCAATACGAAAAGCACCTAAAAGTCGGATTCTTGAACTTTGGAGATATAAGCAAGATACCGATTATTTCATGTTGAAGATGATAGTACACTCTGAAATAAAAATTACACGGAATTTTGAGCTCGTTTGTTTGCGCAGTCTTCATCTAGTGTTGAAACAGCTCTTGCATTCTCTTTGCGTGTTTCCGATAAAAAAAAATTACGTTTAGACGTTACCATAGGTCCTAGGTACCATGAATACGCAAATACTCATAACTCTATGCACTTCTTAGCAAAGATAATAGGTGCAAATGACTAATTATTAACTCTTCACTCGTTTCTCATTGCAAACTGCTACTATTAACAATTATCAGAGAAAACGGTTTGACAGGGATAACTAATATATTTAATTCCTTTGCATATAAAAGTCGATGTAGGCCTACTAAATGAGGATGATTAAATTTTTTAACATTATGTGCATGTGTTTACATACATGTGATTCTCTTTGAAAATTATAAACACCCAGTGACCATCTTTCGACTCTTTGATTTTATATGATACCGAGTCCACTTTACCCCAATGGTCATTAGAAAGTGTGTCCATCAAGAGTAAAACTCTGTAGCTTCAGAGACTTCCTTAGGAATAGATGCTCTCCTAAGCTCAATTCTAGCTCAAATATTGTTCTCTAATAAAGACTACCATGGAAACAGCCATAGATTCTGAAAATTTATGTATAACCATAACGAAATTCAAAATTTTCAACAAAGAGTCTGCCACTGATAGAAATTTGTAAAAATCTTGAAAGTTAACACCAAGTTTTTTAAGCTCTTGAAGATACTTCTTGTTAGAAGCCCTTGGTTCATAGAGAAAATATAATCATTTCTGCCTGTCCTCACCTTCATTCTTAATATATAATATGTGATTAGTAAGTTTGTCAATGCTCAGAGGATGTACTTCCAGCTACAGTATTTTTTCTTTCCACCATTCATTAACTTTTCACATTTAGGTACATATGAAGTAATTTTTCCTGAGACCAATAATGTCCTAGAATTGCTGCAGTCAGACCTATAAGAAGGAATTTTATCAGAGTTCATCGTGATGTTCAAATCTGAAAAAGCCTTAGTCATTTCTTTGATATTTAGATTGTGTAAGGAATCAACTTTCTGAACTTTTGTGAAGTTAGTTGGTTGAAAAGCTAACACTTGCCTTCTGGTGATGAAAAACATTTAACTGTAACATCATTTACCCTGTTTTGAACTTCTCCATTCTTTCTTTTAACTTTGGTAAAAGGAATCATCTCTGAATCTATTTCCTGTACTTTCTAAAAGTATGGAATCTCAGACCTGACATAAAGGAGATTATTCAAAATACTATTACTATCAGAATTGTAGTTTGAGTTACTACTTAATCTTGGTCTCTTAGTTTCACTAATACTTGATTCTTTAATCACTTTTTCTATTATAATTTTTACTCTCAGTGGTATATCCAGATTTTGAGAAAGTGAACACTGAAAATTGTCATCAATTTTCCTTTTAGAGGAATGAGGGTTATCCTCTTCATCTGTCCTAAAATCTTCTAAATTATCTCACTGAGAAGGAAACAAGGAGGCAATAAGATTGGACCATACACGATCCATAGGGATCATAGACTGAATCAATTTATGTATTTTTCTTTTTAAAAATCTATACTTATTTGATTAAAAAGTTGGAGATTCTCTTTCCAACTGCATGAGGTGTAAGTAGTAGTCTCTACAAATTATTACAGTGGAAAGGTGTGAAAAATGCTTTTTTCTGTTGCACACATGGTACGCGATTCACATAACACTAATGGAATTTTAAGCTTCCCAAAAGGCAGCCTTCACTCTTGCACCACTTCATATTATAGCTTTTAGGAGATAACATTACTGTACTAAGCAGTCTTTGGTACTTTGTAATAGTGGACACTATTGAAGTTGAAATAAAACCTTTAAAGTGGGTCTTGTCCTGTGCTTCTGGGTTCATTCAAGTCTATTAATCTCATTTGTCTGTGTCCTTTCAATGAACATCCATAGCCTGCTGAAGGAACCAAATATACCATAAAGCAATAAAGCAAATTGGCTGTGGCCCGGGTGACGAGAATTGCCACCAGGATGACGGAAAAGACTCGCCACGAGTGCACAAATCTTTTGGAGTTTATTTTGATTCATTTGGCGCTTAGAAGAGAGCTTTAGGATTATTCCCATCAATAAACAAATGTGGAATGTAATGTACGTAAGCAGTGACTCGAAGAGCACCAGCTCCAGGGAGGACGCCAATTCCGTGCTGTGCACCGTATTCCTGGCACAGGTTCTATAACGTAAAATTGTAAATTACGATTAAATGAGATATATGACAAATAACCAAGTTTTTTTTTTTTTTTTTTTTTTTTTTTCTTGCATTGAGTTATTTACTACATAGAGAGATGATATGGAGTCTATGTAAGGAAAATAAGTAATTACCAGCTGGATAAAGCAAATCAAATGACAAATATGGATGTTGGAAAACGGCAATAAAGCTAAAAAAGTTTACACAAAATAACTTTTCAAAGGGTAGGCACTGAATCTAATCGCTGCTCATGAGTGTTCATGCACGCCCAGCCTACACATCCCATGCCTGGGATATTGGCCACTTACGTAACCCATTGTCCGGGTTTTCAGCATCGTGATTTCCGTTATGCAACTGGATCCAAAGGGTTAACAACAATAAAAAAAAATGATTTATGATTTACAGGCAGTTGTGTTGACCACTACACTGCAAGAACTTTTGATATAATGTAATCATTTACCCGAGGTCGTGACAATTATGGAGTCAAAGAAATTATCCACCTCCCTTAGCAGCTCAGTCTAATAACAGTAGGAATAATAATTTGACCAAAAATTGTCTGGGGAAGATGCCAGAGCTTCTATGGCTAACGCTGTTCAAGAACAAAAGCTTTATGTTCCCAATGGTAATTCAAGCTCAACAATACGTATGGGCAACTAAAGAAATAGTGCTTTTATATTGTGTTCACTAATCTCTTACTTTCATGGTGAGTGACAAATATTACTAAATATTGCCAAGCCAGTTCTCAAACTCTCCTATCTCTTGCTGGATAATTCTTTAAAATGCAAAATTATCAGTTAGAAAGACTCATATTTGTGGTAGCTTAAGAAAACAAAGTTTCAGAAAACACAATTTATAGAAGTGTTTCAATAGAAAACAAAGATTCAGTAAACACAAATTATAGAAGTTAGGTTCAATAGAAAACAAAGTTTCAGAAAACACAAGAAATGACCATGGAGCAAATTCAAACGTTTGTTGACACCGGGCTGGCAAAAAATATTTTGACTTGCCAAGTCAGAGGGTAGATGGCATGCTGAACGGTTTGCAGATGCATGAGCTCTATTGTTTTGTGACAAATGAAGAGGTGTGCCCTGTATTTAGGAGAAAATCTTTCTTTCTCTCCTTTTGCAGAAAATACTTTTTAGGTGCCAACTCGAATGGCATGAAGCATTCTACACCCCTACCACATTAGTCATTAGATTAGTATTTTGCTGTAAAATGATCTAAAATACAATTTTTTATTTACAGCATTTACTGGTTTTGAGACATCTAATAAGTACAAAGTGAAAAATTCTCTTGGACAACAAATGTATTTTGCTGCTGAAGACACAGATTGCTGTACTCGTCAATGTTGTGGTCCCATGAGACCATTTGACATGAAGATCATGGACAATTCACAAAATGAAGTAATTCATTTGAACCGTCCCTTGGCTTGTGATTCATGTCTCTTCCCTTGTTGCCTACAGGTACAGTATATATTTTGGTAAACCCAAAATTGTATGTATTTTTAACTATTTTCAATGTAATTATTTTTAGGATTTCTATTATTTTTTATGGCAAGTTTAGTGCTGGGATAATTTTTTCAGGGACATATACAATCTGATACAATAATAATAGATCACTTTGTATTCTGGTCTTTCTAAGTATTAACATTTTAATAAAAGTATCTCTTCATCCAGACATAGTATCTGTGTGATATTAAGTTTAACTTATAAGAGAGAGAGAGAGAGAGAAATTGATTGATTGTCCTGTCATTAGAATATCAAAGAGTTTCTAGATAGATGATTGATTGATTGTTCTGTCATTAGAATATCAAAGAGATTCTAGTGCAGTATCTATCAGTTATGGCTCTTTCAATGTTTTAATTCTTCTTCTGGCAATATTTAAAAAATCACATTGTCAAAGCTTAGTCTAAAGGTCATTATCTGTAGATATTGAACAGATCACCAAATTAACAAGTTTTTAGCATGTCTCTTGATTTGTGTATTCTAGTGGTTCTTTAAATCTTTAAAAGTGACTTTCACTTTTCAATATGGTTTAGATGATAAATCATCAGTGGAAATCAATGGGTTCCTCTTCTTCTTAAGCACCTTCTGTAGTAATTAGAGTAGCATAAAACCCTATATAATTTTCTTGTTGACTTTCCTTCCCTCCAAGTTTCAAATTCTTCCAATCTCTGATGTGGTCTTACTTCTGCCAGAGCCACACAAAAGAGCAGTAATATGAGTTGTACCATGACATTTATCTGGGTGATTTATATTCTGCTTTCGTTTCTGCTGGGAGTCATTGCAGGATTGGTATATTATTGCTAAGCAGTCATTTCCCATTTGAAGAGTGACATCAGCTTGTGCCTAAGTACTGTGATCTAGAGATGTAAAGATTGTCTATTTTAAGCATTCATGAATGTGATTGTGAATGTGAATTTCTTATTTTAATGTTGCAAGTGGGAATGCAAGTGTAAATTTCAAATATTCCAATCCAATCCATAGTTCAAATTGTGGTACTATATGATTTTAAAATATTGTCATTGACTGTTAAGTAATAGATGACATTAAACATGGGGCCTGTGAGGGGCTAGAGGGATAGAGTTGCCACTTAATTGTTCTTCCCTTGCCTTTCCCTCATGCAACTTATACTTATTTATGTTTTCTCATTAGCTAAGAAAAGTATTTGCATATTAAAAAAAAAAAGAAAATGCAGTGAGAGAGTAAATGCAAATGCTAAAAAACTAGGCAAATATTCGTAGCTGAAATATTCTTGGATTATTCTTTATGAGCTAATTTCAGGATTTTTGTACAAGCTAAAATGAGCTTGGCCTTTTTCTGATACTAAAGTTGTGTATCAAGACTTTGTAGTGTAACCAACTTTTTCTTTTCATAAGTTGTTGTTTTCTAACATTATCATATATATCTGTCAGATTCTTAACTCTTGATTCATCTCTCTTTGAACTTTCTTCTTTTTCACTGCTATTAACAAGATCTGGGCCAGATTTTGGATAGATAAAAAAGGTATTAGGTCAAATTTAATGCCCCCAATGTTACACTTGCTACCTATTTTTCTTTTTATATACCTAAAGTGAAATAGAAAGCTTGAAATGGAAACATGATTTGTGATAAAGATAAGTATTGTAAAATATTTACTCTTTCAGAGTATTGAGGTCACATCCCCCCCGGGTACTGTAATTGGAAGCATCCATCAGGAATGGAGTATACTGGCACCGAAATTCACTGTCAGGAATGCATCTGATGATGTCATTTTGAGAATTGAAGGGCCTTTTTGTACTTACAGTATATGTGGGGATGTGGAATTCCAAGTAAGTGAATTATTTAGCCAAAACTTAATACTTCAAGATTCATCCCTCTTTATGTGAGAGATAATCTTGAAAGTAACAATTTGTTGTAAAAATGTATCCACCTCTCATTTAGTATTTTACTCTTACTAATATATATCTGATAAGACAATAAATTACCCTGTAAGATTGAAATGTACTTGTTTAAAGTAGATGTTAATGGTAACAATATTGATGATGATATGGATGATGAGACTAAAGATTTTTTTTTTTTTTTTAAGAGGGAAATGTTGATATTAATATAATTGTTGGTTATAGGGATATGGTCATGATTAGATAATGATGTTAATGATAGTGTGATGAAGAGAATAATGGTATTGATTAATGTCAATCAAGGGCTGTAAAGTGTGGTGGGGGCCTGTCAAGCTTCTTCCCTGTTAGTTCAGGAGTGAGGCAAGGCTGTGTCCTTGCACCAATGCTTTTCAACACTTGCATGGACTGGATAATGGGCAGAGCTACTGTTCAAAGTCATTGTGGAGCAACTCTGGGCAATATCAAGGTTACCGACCTTGACTTTGCTGATGATCTTGCCATTCTATCTGAGTCTTTGGAATCCTTAGTGGTGGCTCTGGATGCATTTGGTAATGAAGCGAAGCCCTTGGGTCTAGAGATCTCCTGGACCAAGACCAAGTTCCAGGACTTTGGGGACATATTAGGAAAACCTGTTCAGTCGGTTCGTGCTTGCGGTGAGGACATTGAAGTCACAGAGAGCTTTACATACCTTGGCAGTGTAGTTCATAACCCTGGGCTGTCAGACCTTGAAGTCAGCAGACGGATTGGCCTGGCAGCAGGGGTCATGAACTCTCTCGATAAGAGTATTTGGAGATGCCGGTATGTGTGTAGAAGGACCAAGCTTCGTGTCTTCAAGGCCCTGATAGTGCCAGTTTTGCTATACGGTAGCGAAACCTGGACACTATCCTGCGCCTTGGAGTCTCGACTTGATGCCTTTTGTAATAGGTCCATGCGCTGGATCATGGGGTACAGTTGGCGGGACCATGTGTCCAACCAACGGTTGCACCGTGAGACTGGCACAGGACCTGCACAATCCGTGATCGCCAACTCAGGCTTTACGGCCACCTGGCTCGCTTCCCTCAGGATGATCCCGCCCACCAGGTTGTCTCTGTTCAATACAGCTCTGGATGGAGGAGGCCTGTGGGTCGATCTAGGAAGTCGTGGCTTGGGCAGATCGATCAAACCTGTCGTGAGGAGCTTGAGATGGGCCGAGTCCCTGCCTGGCGACTTGCCATGAGGGATCCTCGCAGGTACAAGCAAAGGGTGGCCATGGCTATGCGCCCCTGTCGGCGTTAGCTCCGCAATGATGATGATGAATCAAGATCATAATGAATATAAAGTACAGGTCGACAGTCAGTTTTCTGGCACAAATTTCCCTGAGATACATCAAATTTCTTAGTTGACTTCACTGACCTGTCACTACTGTTTGATGGGACTGTCTGTTGCATCTTCTGTTTTTGAGCACATTCAGAGATTGACAATGGGATAACAGTAATGCAGTATTCAATATTTTGTGGACTAAGCACAGCAAAAAGAGCCAGATGGTGTGAAAACTTGGGACCTGTATTTGGCAATGCCTCCCTCTTGGCAATGCACCTCTGACATTCCTGTACTTACCACATTTTTTTTTTGACACCAGTGATTATCCTGGCCCTGTAAGAATCCATTAGTTATCAAGTAAAATCAGCTTTCCAGTACCCTCAAGGTCCCGGTGATGTAGGAAAATTGATTGTCAACCTATAGTAATAATAATAATAAGGTAAACAGAGATGTTATTGTAAGTTTATATAAGATAAAACTCTTGGGCAATTTTTATTTCAGGTGTTATCTCCTGATGGTTCAACTCAGGTTGGGAAAATTAGCAAGCAATGGACAGGCCTTGCGAAAGAAGCCTTCACTGATGCTGATAATTTTGGAATTACATTCCCCATAGACCTTGATGTAAAAATGAAGGCTACCTTGCTGGGGGCTGTGTTCCTCATTGTGAGTATAAGATGTGAAAAAGTATGATTTCCTAATTAATCAGAAATTAATGACATGATACTCTTATTGCATATCTTGTTTAGAAAGAGCCTGTATTCATAATATACTTTGAAATATTGTTTCTGTAATTGTAAGTAATCATAAGGTTCACAGAAAGAACTCAAAATATAATTAACAAGCATTTTCAGGATGCTATTTATTTTGAGAAGTGGGACACAGACTGAGCCTGTACGAAAAGGGTAAAAAATGACCAAACATGAAGTAGTTTATATACATTTAGAAAGTAAAGGTAGAGTGATCTAGTCATTTTTAAGCATATATTCACTTTAACAGGTTACTAA